TTCCAAGGAAGAAATCAATTTATCTAAATAATATTATACTCTTCAGTTACTCGAGGACACTAATTTTTTTTCTTCTAAACCTACCCCTCTTTCTCTATATGTCAAACTTAATTTGACTGTTGATGATGGCCCTTTACTTTATGATTCTACACAACATAAGTGCCTGGTCAGTAAGCTACTATATCTCGGCCATTTGCTATGCACAAACTTTCTCAGCTTGTTTCATAGCCAAGACAACCTCATTTGCGAAGCGCACATCACCTCTTGCATTACCTTAATTCTAAACTTGGATAAGGTTTGTTTTTCTCAACAATATATTCTTTACAGTTACTGTAACGGCCCTGAAAATTTAAAATGAAATATGTGTATTAAAAATGTCAAATGCGGAAGCGTAACAAAAATTTTGATTAACATCTCTTACACAAAACCAAAAACGTGCTCAAAATATAAAAGAGGAAACTAACTAAAAGAGATACTCAAAAATAAGAACTATAAATATAACTACGGAGTCTTTAGGCGTCCCCTTCGTCGTCTTCCTGCGGAACGGGCTCGGGAACAATGTCTTCCTGATCTGAAATGGTTAAATAAGGAGTGAGCTACACCAGCCCAGTAAAGACATAACACTATCTCACTGCCACGGAGGTAAAGGTGAGTAGAAAACACAAAAAGACCCATAGAGCATAATTTATAACAAATTCTTTTATCAGTAATAAAATCCTTTACTGTTCACTTACCTCGGTGAGATCCATAAAACAACATATGAAAGCAATAACATTATCATCATCATGAAATCATATGAACTGTATAACATAATACTTACCACGCTTTTGCATTTCAATCATTAAACAACATATTTTCCTCATTTACCAGCCTACTAGTATCCATGGGGATCCATAGAGGTCTCGCTACCCGTGAACCCTTAACATTTATAACCTGATTCCAAGGCCATCCCCATACCCTGTCCGGTATGAGGGTGAAACGGGTCGTCCCCATACCCCGTCCGGTATGAGAGACCACGTTTCCGGTAGGGTTCCCTACGGACCCGGTCCGTCCACCATCTCCCAGGATATCTAGTCAGGCTGTCCACATTATCCACTATCAATTCACATAACCTTTTTGACCTTTTTCTTGGTTTCAATCAACCAAACACACACAACATGTAAACCGGTAATGGACACCAAACAAGACAACGCAGTATCGGGTTAAGCATAATACCGACCATAATAAGAAAACTATAATTCATGCATACGGGACCATAATATAATTACATCAAACATCATAATGCATTTAATAATGGAAATTAAATCAAACAATAACAGACCAACCCAGTATCATACTCGGGCTCCATTGGCAACCTTAATCAATTATACATCTATAAAGTCACACAGTACAGTTTAATGATTTATTTATCTTTAATACCGTGATAGGAAATAGGGTGAGGGGTCCTTACTTGTTTTGGGGTCTGAATACGGCTCTACAGTGCGCCTACAGGCTGTCCCTAATTTTTTTTGAATTTTTTCCGGGGAACTGAAACGCACTATTGGTACCTGCACGTGCCCCAAAAAATTCCAAATTAGACCTAGGGCCCCTTTTCGGCTAATATCGCAATTCCGACACGGCGGCTCCGCGTGCTCCGGCGACGGCGCCGCCGCAAGCGGCGGCGATTCACCTCGGGTTGGCCGTTTTTGGGCGAATTCGGTCACACTTGCATCGGTCCCTGCGATAGAACAACCCTAGGGCCCTCGGTGGGCTGAAAAATCACGAAAAACTGAAACTTACTGGCGGCGGTGCTCTCGGGTGCGGCGGCTCCTCCAGCGTGAGTCGCGTTTTGATGTTTGGCTCCGATCAACCTGTAGAAAAAATAACGGTGATCACAGTGGTATAAAATTTGCATCAAACGGAGGCCGAGAAGGGCCTCATCGGAGGCAAAAACCGAAGAGGGGCGCGGTGGCGCCGCTGGGTTTCGGCTGGGTTTTCCTGCCGTTTGGCCGGTGGTTTGGCTCCTGTTTGACCATAGGCGGACTCAGCGTCGAAAAACGAGCAAGGGGGAGAAAAATTACCTCGATCAGCTGTCGAAAACTTCCCTGGTGCGGCAGCGGGTGGCGGCTGCCGGCTCCTTCGGTGTCTGGTTCTTCTTCTCCGGTGAGCACTGGCGGCTAGGGTTTCTTTGGTCAGTGTGGGTGGGGGTATTTATACCCTTTGCCTTTTAATCTCGACCGTCCATCAAGATTGAATCTGGGCCGTTCGATCGCGATTTAATTGGGATTAATCTGGACCGTTCATCGCGATGCAATCTGCGCCGTCCGTGCGCACGTTTGA